ATGCCCATGCCCCTGACTTCCAGGTCCTGGGGCAGCATGTGCAGTGCAGCCCGGCCGCAGGGCTGACCTGTTACAACAGGGACCAGGTCTCCGGGCTCTGCTTCAACTACCAGATCAGGGTCCTGTGCTGCTCCCCCCGGGCCTGCCCCACCTCCCGGGGCCCTGCCACCTACAGCACAACCAACACATCTGTGCTGACAGCCCCTGTCACCACCACCACACCTGCCCCAAGAACCTGCACACCTGCCCCAGGCACAACCTCACCTGCCCCAGGCACCACCTCACCTGCCCTGTCCCAGCCACCACCTCACCTGTCCCAGCCACCACCACACCTGTCCCAGCCACCACCTCACCTGTCCCAGCCACCACCACACCTGTCCCAGCCACCACCTCACCTGTCCCAGCCACCACCACACCTGTCCCAGCCACCACCTCACCTGTCCCAGCCACCACCACACCTGTCCCAGCCACCACCTCACCTGTCCCAGCCACCACCACACCTGTCCCAGCCACCACCTCACCTGTCCCAGCCACCACCACACCTGTCCCAGCCACCACCTCACCTGTCCCAGCCACCACCACACCTGTCCCAGCCACCACCTCACCTGTCCCAGCCACCACCACACCTGTCCCAGCCACCACCTCACCTGTCCCAGCCACCACCACACCTGTCCCAGCCACCACCTCACCTGTCCCAGCCACCACCACACCTGTCCCAGCCACCACCTCACCTGTCCCAGCCACCACCACACCTGTCCCAGCCACCACCTCACCTGTCCCAGCCACCACCACACCTGTCCCAGCCACCACCTCACCTGTCCCAGCCACCACCACACCTGTCCCAGCCACCACCTCACCTGTCCCAGCCACCACCACACCTGTCCCAGCCACCACCTCACCTGTCCCAGCCACCACCACACCTGTCCCAGCCACCACCTCACCTGTCCCAGCCACCACCACACCTGTCCCAGCCACCACCTCACCTGTCCCAGCCACCACCACACCTGTCCCAGCCACCACCTCACCTGTGAAAACAACTGGCTCAGCCCCCAGCCCAATGCCAGTTTCAACCACTGCTTCCACCACAGCCTCCGTGGCAACCTCAGCCCCAGGGCCCTCCGAGGTCCCAGGTGTGCCCACCACCTCTCAGCCCAGTGCCATCTCCTGCCTGCGGAGGTACTGCAGCTGGACCGAGTGGCTGGACGGCAGCTACCCCAAGGCTGGGATCAACAGTGGAGATTTTGACACGTTCCAGAACTTGCGATCCAAAGGGTATGCGTTCTGCGAGCAGCCCAGCCAGGTGCAGTGCAGGGCCGAGCGCTACCCGGACACCCCGCTGGCGGAGCTGGGGCAGACCGTGGTCTGCAGCGACAGTGTGGGCCTGCTGTGCCTCAACAAGGACCAGCTGCCCCCCATCTGCTACAACTACCAAATCCGGATCCAGTGCTGCGAGTGGGTGGACATGTGCAGAGAGAGGACCACCCCACCGGGGACATCGAGGGCCATGCGCTCGACCCCACAGGACACAACCCAAACCCAGGCCCCCTGGACCTCCACACAGCGCTGGATGGCCAGCTCGATCCATGTGCCCCCGGCCACCAAGACCATACCCAGCACACACACGGTCACACCACGTGGGACCACCAGCTGCCAGCCACAGTGCACGTGGACCCAGTGGTTCGACGTGGACTTCCCGTATCCGGGGCCCCACGGAGGACGACCCAGTGTATGAAAACCTCATACTACCTGCTTAAAAAGTGACCGTGCGTCCGTCCATACTCAAATGACGAGGTCTGGATTTGGGGAGCTGGACCATGAGTGACACGGCATCCGGACAACCCAGTAACCGCACAGCCTCAACTCTAATCCAGTGTGTAGAGAAGTGGCATGCATCTGATTTGAACATGAATAGTGACATAGGAAATGATTTCAGGCTCAAACTTTGCAGTATCAAATTCAAATTCATCAACAGAACGTACAAACCCTGCAGGAGGAGAAATCTGGATGAAGCTCCAGCAGTAGACCATGGAGAGCACAAATTGAATATTGGAGCCTGCACGCAGAAGTGACTCACAGCTCCAGCGCTCATCCCTGAAATAAAAAAGTGGGATTAAGCAAGTCACCGTGTCTCTGGAGTGACCAGGTCCTTTTCATCACTTCCAGGGACTCTGAGCCACTCTGATGGCAATGCGGGGCTCTTCAGCCTGTGGCTGCCAGGAATGGAATATGCAGCTGTAACAGCGTCCCCACTCTCAGGACTGGGCACAGG